AAAAAAAAAAAAAAAAAAAAAGAAAAGAAAAGAAAAGAAAAGAAAAGAAAAGAAAGAAACAACCTGTTTTTAGCTATCTTCAGCATTTGCTTTGTAAGATCATGTTTTGGCAGCTTTTAGTCTCTGATTGGCTGGAGGTTCACCTATATGAATGGCTAAGGTTGTGTAAGTTCCAGGTTAATGGTTGTAGATTAGGTTCCAATTTATTTACATACCAAACTATGATGTTCCTCCCTATATACATGGACCATGTTAAGACAAATTTGGTCATCCAGGTACAGAACCAGTCTTAGGCCAAACTTACCGATTTAACACATCACTTTTAAAGATATCCTGTAGCCTCATGAAGAATGGGACCCAGACTTCAAACGAAACTTCTTCCTTGATGTCATTCACCACAGTTGAAACTGGTTAGCATTTAAAAGAAAACAAAATCACAGATGAATCTTAAGGAAATGATCATAGGCAAAGCAAAGAACACACCAGTAGTAAACAGTTTCAAAGTGCTAGTGTCAGAAATGAAACTGTTTCAGCTCCCTAGGTCCAAAATGTATTCACTGGCATCTCATCAGGCTTCCTGTTGATCTTCCTTTGGTTGCTGCCTGCCATTTTCCTGTTACTTCTGGTAACCATCATAACACTTCACAGAGCCAAACCTGGAACCGCGGTGCCTTCCTGGTCACCTGCCTGCTTGAGAACCATGTAGTGAATGATGAGATGTACTGAGTATTCTCCTTTGCATACACAAGACCTTCCCATTGTGCAAATTCGGAATACTTCTAGATTGCCTTTCAAACATTGCCATACTTCCAGGAAAATGACTTCCTGCAAAGGCCATGCAAAGACAGTGTTTTAACTATATAATAACTACACATGCATTTATGTGTTCATTCTAGAGAGTTTATGAATGCGGGTGCCTATTACCAAGCACTGTGCCAAGAAGTGGAGATCCAAGGAAGTTCAGGTGAACATGGCCTGTTTCCAAAAGAATCAGCCAATGCTGGTATTATTTAAAATGCCATCTCCTTTTCTTTCATCATAAAACAAATATCTCTATTCTAATCCAGGCACTGTGCTTGGTGCTGGAAACGAAAAGTTAAAGTCCATACACTTGAGATCATAGCCTGGTAGGAAAAACAGACATAAAGTTTTAGAAAGAGTTAAATGTAATTATAGAAGTACCTATAAGCAAGAGATGAACTCTGTTGGGATTAAGCACAAATAAAAAAACAAACAAACAAGTAATACCTCAGTTTTCCTTTTCTACGTTCTTCAAGTGTGTAAAGTAGGCCAGTCAAGGTTGGGCCTGAGCAATGAGGGGCAAACAGCACACCTCTCAAAGGCAGGGCACAGTACTTTATAACTCTGGCACACACAGATCCCCTGTTGCATTTCAGGTACAGGGCACAGCTCACTCATGAAGGAGCACGGTGTCCTGGAATGGTAGCAGTTCTCTTGCATCAGTGACAAGCAATGGGACTGAAAAAGAACCTAGCAGAGGTATCCTGAATGAACTTATTTGTCATGATAATCACCTGCATTTTTGATTAAAAATATAGATTTAGGAGACACTGTTAGACTTCAACTGATTTTAAACAATCACAGCCTGCTTGAATCCCACCTTACTCCAGTACTCAGCTTGTGCCAGTTATTTACTTAGCCTTTTAGAGTCCCAGCATAACCCCCATTAAATAAGACAAATCACACCCTCCCTGGAGAATTACAAAGATTAAAAGGAATACTGCATGTTTGGTAGGCAGCTACATGAATGACAAGTCCTATAAATGATAGTTTCATCTAATTCCCTTTTACTCTATGATAAGTTTGTGCTTTGAAATACATTTACTGGAAAATAAAACTCCACGTGAGAATAGAGGAGACAGGTGACACCGAGCCGGGGAAATAAAATGGTGCAAATTGGACCTCAGTGACACTGACCTCTGAGGGGAGGATCTTAAAGAGGACCAGTGAATGGATTGGTGAGGTGGAACGGATTGGAGCCTGAGGGAACATTGGCAAGTGATTCAGGTAAGGCAATGAGAGGGAGCAATCTACGATGATTCCCCTGCTTCTCACTTGGACAACTCAGTAGAACATTTATTTTAAGCAGTGACTTTAGCTCTGGCTTGCAATATGCTGGAGTGTTTTCAATTATCTGGCAGTGTGTGAGATTCAAACATGATTCCAAAAATAAAATTAACATCCACCTGGTCCATGGTTCTTTGGCTCTGTTAAAGTTCCACACCCATCCTCAGACTCTTGGCCTAGCATTTGCCTTTGACTCTTTCTTGTGGCTCATCCTCCACAACCAGGGGTTGATCTAGATCAAATGCAGTTCCAGTACAAAACCTATCTCTTCCGTGTCTTATGTCTTTGCTCTTCTGACCAGAAGCTCTCATTTCATCTCCGTTACGTGCATAGGTTCTTGGCTACTTCCTCACTTCAGACTTTCTTCCAAATACCACCCATCCCTGTTGCAGTCTATGTATGTTATAACAACGTACTGCTCCTAACAAAGCAAAACCTAAACTTCTTTCCTGCTGTATCAAAACCAGACACTTCCATTGAGTTTCTGCATCCTCAATAACCTGGATGTAATCTTCCTACCAAAGTTTTTGTCCCCCTCTTCAGTGTATATGTAAATTATGCACTTTGAGTCCAATCAACTTTCTTCCCCTGTCACAAACATCTTGCACATTTACCTCGGGGTTGTGTGTGTGTGGGGGGCGTGTTCTTCTATATATTCCAGAGAACAAAACAGGAAGTAATGAGTCAGAAAAATCTTCCTCTGAATTCTACTTTTGATGCTTGTGCGTATGACCTGTCAGTTTGCTCCTCATTATTCTGAAATAGGTCTGTCCTGACCTGTGTATGAAACAACGGCTCCTCCTGAAGAGGATTCCTTTTCTCAGTCCTTGCTTTACTTTTCTCCATAACACGTTTCAGCTCTTGATACACTGCATCTAACATTTTTGTTTTACTCTCAATTCCACTACAACATAGGCTTCTCATGGAGATATCTTCTCTTTGTTTTATTTCATATCCCCATGACTAACAGGGTCTGGTACAAAAGGGGTGCTTATAAATATTTGAAGAATGAATGAAGAAATAGGCATTTTATTTGCTTCCCAGAGCTCTTTTAAATGTTAAATGAAATTCCAAATGTAGTAAGGACAGACTAGTTGTGGGTACCAAGAATGTACTAAATGTTATGATTATCACCTCTGACAACTGCATTATACTCAAATTCTTTGTTTCAATCCTGTTTCAGTTTCCCTGTGTGTCCCTGATCACCTGGCCCTTCCATTTTTCTTCATTTCTAGCACACTTTCAGTCCTGTCATCGTCTTACCAGGACATATATTATGTTAATGTGTCACTCCTTCCACGTGCAAGATAGAGAACGGGATACCTATACAAAACACAGCTGAGCAGTAGTTGCTGACTGATTATTTTATCAAAATGTATGACTCACAATACTTCTAAAAATAATATACATTAGTGTCATGCAGGATAGTTCAAGATTGCTGAACCACAATCGTTTATCATATTTAGTTTATCATATTTACCTCTTATAATAAGTTATTGTGTTTGACTTATATGACAGTAACAGCCAGTTGTTATACAGTATCAACACTAAGTTATTCATGGGATCTCTACTACCTTAATGCCATTAATACTATAACAACTCCATGAAATGTAGCTATTGTTCTCATTTTACATGTAATAAAAACTGAGAC